GAAGAGGGGACAGCACAGTTCCCTGTGGTGCTCCTGTGCTGCTGACCACAGTGTCAGACGTGATGTCCTTCAGCCTGACGTACTGTGGTCTGTCAGTGAGGTAGTCGGAGATCCAAGCGACCAGGCAGGGGTCCACCTGCATCCTGTTTAGTTTTTCCTGAAGCAGACAGGGCCGGATGGTATTAAAGGCACTGGAAAAGTCAAGAAGCAGGATCCTGACCTGACATATTATATTTAATAATATGCACCCTGAGATAATAAAAAGAAGAACTTAAGTTCAGATTTAAACAACATGACAGAAGGTTTCTCTCACTTTATGTCATTTTAATCAGCAGCTAACCTCGCCTTCTTTTCACATCATGTGCTATAGTGACCGTTTGCTAGAAAAGGAGGTCTCACCTTCAAATGATGCTTGGTGGGGACTCCCACTCCTTATACAATTCTAACAAGCTTCACAGTCAATATTAGGTATGGCTGCCTTTATTCTTCACCACAGTCTGAGCTGTCTTAGGCAGCTTTCTTGTAATTTCTTTAAGTAGTCTTCAGGAATAGTTCTCCAGGCTTCTTGAAGGACATTCAAAGCTCTTCTCTGGATGTTGGCCACCTTTAGATGGTCACACACTGCTTTAATAATGTTGAGGTCCAGCTCTGGAGAAGCCATGACTGATATTGAACCATTGTGTGTTATTCTATCCAGGTATGCCTTTACTGGTGTGGTGTTTGAGATTATTGTTGTGAAAAACGAAGCTGTGGTCAGTCACATTCTTCAGATGGCATTGCATAACAGCTCAAAATCTGCCTGTACTTTTCTGTGTTCATAATTTAATCAGTTTAACGAGATCTCCGACGCCACTGGCTGAAATGCAGCTCCAACCACGATACAGCCTCTGATCTAGATGACTGTAGACCCTCAATGTTGTGTAGACACTGTTTCCTGACCTCCTCCACACATACTGATGATGACACGAGCCAAACATTTCATATTTGTATTCATCACTCCATAAGACATGTTGCCAGTTCTTGTGTATTTTGGCTTTTTCACTTTGTTCCCTTCCTTAAAAATGTCTTCTTAACAGTCACCTCTCCATTGAGACCATTTCTGGTGAGGCTTCAGTGAACAGTAGAGGAATCAAATGAAGTACCAGATGCATTCTCAGGCCCATTTTTAAGGATGTGACCTTCAGACACTGCCCTTCTGCTGTAGATAGGTTTTAGGCCTGCCACTTCTTCTTTTGTCCTCCACTCATCCAGTTTCCCCATTTTCTTTGAAGGACACACTGCACACCATGCTGAGAGGGCATGCATTTTTGGATTCTAAATAAATAAAATAGGACATTTTTGGT